TTCCTGCTGCAGGAATGTGTGAGATTTTGTTTCCAGGCATGGTAGGAAAAACCTGTCTGCCACCCTTAACAACCGACTTTCCATGCCTTCAGAGCACAGATACACTCAGTTGAGTTCCTACAGCATTGTTAATGAGTGTTTTTCCCTTCTGTGTCTTTCAGGGATCTAAACTACAATGAGCTGTTGGAATTCCCTGGGGCGATCAGGACGCTGGGCCGACTGCAGGAGCTGTGAGATTTTCTATTTATTCCTTTTCAAAAGCATTCCCTGACAGAGAGTGACCAATAAAGCGTCGCGTGTGCTCTGACTTGGGCTCTGACTTGGGGAGACCACTCAGTCCAAGCCTTTCTTTTATCTTTCCCAGCCCTCTCCGCCGTGCACATAAAAGCAGTTTATCCCCTCAGTTTTCATCAGCTCTAACTCCCTCACCATTTCCCTTGCACCACGGCCGCTGGAGGGGAGCGGGAGATCCTCATCAGGCTTGGAACCGGCTCTTCCTGCAGCTCTTCCTTCTCCTGTGGCATCTGATGGACTCAAAATCCCTCTGATCTCCAGGTGTTTCTAAAGCCCATTCCCCAGCTTGGAGCACAGCCATGGAGTTATCTGTGTTATTGCGAGGCCATGGCTTCTCCAGGTCCTGTGCCACCTCCTCTGACGTGCTGAAACCATGTTATCTCCCTTAGGACAAATTCATAATAGGGAATTACAAAAGTTTATGACTATTTTAGTGGCTAGCTCTCTCTCCTCTAACCAGTCAGCCTGGGAGACACTAAAAATAAGAATCCATCCCACTGAACACCCACGAAGGCAGAAGCCCCAAGATGGGGTTGAGTTGAGGTGGATCCACAGTTCCTGTGGACCCTAAGGCTGTGTCTCACTGGTGACAGGCTGCAGTGGGAGAAAAGCAGCTGCTTCAGTGCTTCTCAGAGTCTTGGAGAGAAAATCTGGCACTACTCTTTTCTTTTACCAGAAGAAGTTCTTGTCAAGAGGATTTCTCAGATCAGATCAGATGTCATCATCACTGGCATTCTTACTCAAAATAAGATCCTCAATCCACTTTGAGATGGCTTCTGAAATGCCAGTCACTAAATAAGAGCCAAATTTATCCAACTAATCACTCACTTGGACTCCTCTGGGCCTAAACAACTTAGGCATCAACCAGAGCCTGGTCCTGGACACAGGATCCCATGACTGCCTGCAACGTTCAGGAGATCAGGCTGTGGTCACAGAGCTCTCTTCTGCTGCAAAAATTTGCCGAGACCAATTTTCTCAAGCTTAAGTAAATATATCACAGCTAGATCTACTTTAAAGTCACTCAGACCAATAGTTTGTGATGGGTCGCACTCTGGTTAACAGCTGTGGAGCTGGAAAGAAGAGACTACCATAAAAGTTGTAATTCCTGGCGGGTATAAAGTATGTCTGTTTTGTTTGCTCCCGTTTTCTGACCTGTCAAGTTTAAACCTTGAGTCTTGGAGGGGTCAGTGGAGTGGCATTTGAAGCACCAAGCTGTACACAGAATAACCACAGCAGAATGAAGGTTTTGTCCTGCCAAAGGACAGACCTTGTTCACTGCTGGGATGATGCTACAGCTGGAGCAGAGCCTACACCTCCTATTTTATATGCATTTTGAGTCTTCTCTGCCTTTTAAAAGTGTTGAGGAAAAAAGGTGTGTCCAAGCCTTTCTCATCCATTAATACCAATATATTTGTTTCTTCCAACAGCGGTTTTCACAACAACAACATCAAAGCTATTCCAGAGAATGCATTTGTTGGGAATCCCCTTCTCCAAACAATGTAAGAAAATTAAACACTGTTTCCTAAATCCTTACTTCCCTTGGAAAGGGGCATTTCTTGATGTCTTTGGCTGGGATTTCTGACAGTTGCCAGCATGACCACAATTTGACATGTGTATATGTGGGCCAGTGCAAGCTGAAATCAGTCCCTTCTCAGCTATGCTGCGGGGGTTTTGCCATGGGTTCTCCTTTCCCTGCAGCTGAACTTTGCTGCAATCCCGGCTGATAGCAATGAAGCAACAACATACGGGTGGTCTGCAGGGAAATCTTGCCATGCGTAACAGGATTTCCTCAGCCCTGGTTGACATCTGCCTGTGTTTATTCCATGTGTTTAGAAAAGCTGCTAACCAGCTACAGCAGGAGCCATGTGTGTCAGGCAGGTGGGACACCATACTGCACCAGATCCATGGGCACAAAGTTCTGCAGAGAAATACACCCCATTGCCAGCACATTGTCCCTCTGAGCCAGGCACAGGCACAGATTTTGGACAGTTCTTCCCTGAACTACACTGATACTGAAAATCATGGCAAGTGACAAAAGCCCTGCTTGGGCAGTCTGGGACTTAAGAAATACCAACACCTGGAAAGCCATGGTGATACTGGGTGAAAACAGTCGCTGCCCAGTCAAAACAAACCAGACTGGTGCCCATCTTCCTTGAAGTGACATGAGGGTGGGACACATCCATGGCTCCATTGGATCTTCCCATCTAAAGTCCTTCGCTGTTGGTGGGGAGGGACTCCTTCTTGTAGGAGGGGACTCAACTCCCCCTAAAGCCAGCTGGATCCTGGAAGAGCTCACTTCTCTCTGTGACAGGTAGGAAAGATGCTGGTGGTGTGGATATGTAAGATCAGAGTAGGTGTCCTCCCTCCAGCAGGGTTACAGCGCTATGGCAGGGTTAAAGAAGGGCTTTGCATCTTTCTAGCCTATCTGGCTCAGCAAGACCCTAAAGGGCCCTTCCAGAGCAGCAGGAGACCTCAGTTGTACCAATCTTCAGTCAAACCAGGCTAGTTGGAGTGTCTGGGGTTAACTGGAAACAAGGTTTCCTCACAGAATAGCCAGCACCTCCTACATAGCTTACTACTAGTTGCTCCAAGGCTCTTGACCTATCATAGCATCTTCTCTTCACAAGCAGCAGAATCTGACCAGTTACTCATTTCCTTTGCAGCCATTTTTATGACAATCCCATCCAGTTTGTTGGACAGTCTGCTTTCCAGTACTTGCCAAAGCTCCACACTCTGTAAGTTCACCAACCACATCCTCAGAGAGGTAACACATCCAAGCTCCAAACCCTGGGAGTGGGATGCCTTAGTGACCTTCTCCCTTCCTCCTTTCTCAAGCCCTTATGCCAATAGAGGACAACGATGCCACTTTTCTGGCCGGCCCAAAGGCAGTGAGCTAAGGAGCAGACACTGCAGAAGTTTTCTGCTGAGAAATAATAATTTTGAGAATGGCATTTTGAAGGGAGCCATCAGTTCCTGCTGCTCATGCAGCTGACAGGCACTGGAGCCTTTTAGGGTCTCCAGAGCTGCATCAGCACCAGCAAAGACCACACTCACAAGTGCCACAACTTCTGCTTCATGTGGCTCAAGCAAGCCTTGCACTGCTGTGTACGTGCCCCAAAATAAGACCACTGAAGGCATCTGCCTTCCTCCACAATATGGAGAAGCAGAGGAGCACATCCCATAACGCCAACAAATAATCTTACTGGGCAGCCCATGGTGGCAGTGCTTCCTTCACATCTATGGCACTAACCCTGCTCCAGGGTCACCACCAGGTTGTGGGCACCACCTGGACCAGAGCAGCTGCTCTACATTGGCTCTTCAGCTGACCCACTGTGGCACAGCGTGAAATACTGAGGCAGAGAAAACCTCAGCATCTCTATACATAAGCCTCATCCAGCCTCTCACTGCAGGAACATGCACTCAGGCAAATAAAATAAACCCTTCAAATACTCGTGCATTCTTTAATTTCAAATGCATAGACTCTGGGAGGCTTGGGTGGGATGCCCTGCTTACATTCCCCATGATAAATGTTTGAGGTTTTTTATTTAATTTGGGTAGATACCATGCCAAGAATGTCAGTGGCTGGGGGAAGATCTAAGCTTGCCAAGCCTCCATGCATAGAAATGCCCAACTCCAACCCAACACATCTGCACTGCATGAGGCTCCACCACCCAGCCAGCAGTGGCACGCTGATGAGAGGGGAACCTTTGGATCTTGGCCTCTGGGGACCACATCTTAGTGTGGGAAAGCAGATTTGTCACCATGGCTGATGGGTCTGGAACCTTGGGCTTCTGCTTGTAGGTCTTCTGTCCACCTCACTTCACCCTCATCTCTCTGCAGGTCGCTCAATGGTGCAACGGACATCAGAGAATTCCCAGACCTTAAAGGCACCACCAGCCTAGAAGTTTTGTGAGTGGCAGCTCTCCCTTTTACCCTGCTATTTCTGCTCTTCCTCCTCCAAGGCAGTCCAGGCTGTTTCAGCAAGGACATTTCACAGTGCTATGCAGTTGGTTGTCTTCAGCTCTGCCTCTCCTGGTCACTCACCTCTCTGCTTCATTTCACCCCCGTGGCTCCTGAAAGCAGCTTTCCTCTCTGTGAGTTGCTCTCTCAGTGCTGTTGAGTGTGCTCCAATCTTTTTTTATTTTTGTTTTCCTTCCTTCCCTCCACATCTGTGAAGGAATGAGACTTTGGGTGCAGTGCTTCAGCATGGTCTGCTGAGACCCGGTGTCCCCTCCAGGGACCTAGCAGCATGGTGCAAGAAACATCTGCTGTGTTCCCCACAGACCTGCCCCCAGGCTGGGGGTCCTGATCTGTCCCATCCTCGAACCATCAGACTCCAGAGAGCAGGAGCACAGAGGACACACTGCCCCTGGTCACTCACAGTTCTCCTCCCTAGGGCACTGTCCCACACGCTGAGCCCAAACTGGGAGCAGAACTGAGCACCCCTGCCTAGGAGTGTGCCCTGGCTGTGCCCTGCCTCAGGGACCCAGGGACATACCACCCGTGTCCCATATATGCATTGCTGGTGCAGTCACGGCTCTGGGTGGATCACCAGTCTGGGCCATGGGGAACTTGCCTGACCACAGAGGGCACTGCCACCAGCCTCGACGTGACAAGGACAGCAGGGAATCCAGCACTCAGCAACAGCCCAGAATTTCTTGTAGCACATTCACCTTTACCAGCTCCAGCAGCAGCACCTGTTTCCAAGTCAGTTTTCGTCTCTCTCCAGATATTGCAGCTGGGACTATAACTGGACTTGCGGGTCAGAGCCCCTGTGCTGGCTCTCAGTAACAGCATTTCTTCTCTCTCTGCTCCTCTAGGACCCTGACCCGGGCAGGCATCCTCTTCCTTCCCAGAGGGATGTGCCAGCAGCTGCCCAGCCTCCGAGTCCTGTGAGTAACACACATTTCTCTGTCCTGCCAGGCCTTTAGAAAAGTGTCGTCAGAAACCAGGCTTTCTTCTTGTCTAGTTCAGGGAGGGGATCAGCTATGTGGACCATCCAGTGGTTCTTGTTCCTGTTATCTTTTCCATGGAGAAAACACCGCCATCTAAGGCCCTGCTTTCACCTCTGCCTGATCTTGAACTTGCTTGCTTCATGATGCTCTGGACACAGGGCTGTAAGCTGTAAGGCACATTCACATTCACCTCCTCCTTGCTCTGCACCAGTGGGAACTGCCTGTCCCATGCAAGGAGAGTGGAAAGGGCAGTGGGTAAGAATGGCAGCAGCATTTCAGAGGTCCTGGCTATACACAGCACAAAAGCCAGGAGTAAATCACATTTCACACAGCATTCTGCCCCAGCATCGGTTTACTGCAGTTGGAGCTCCAGCAGGTGCCATCATCTGAAGGAAGGATCCTGTCCACTCCTCAGGACACGGTGAACTGGAGGGGACCTCCCCAGGCACAGCCATGGCCCCTCCGATGCAGCAGCGGTGGCTCAGGGCTTTGCTCAGCCTCTGCGTTGCTTTGGCTCTGCCTGCTTTTCAAGGCACTGAGTGATGCCGAGTGCTTTCCTCTTTAAGTTGGTACATGATAACATCAGCATCTCAGAAAGACTCCTGCATCCTCTCAGGGATCACACCCCTCGTTCCTGGGGTCCCCAATCTTGTCTGCAGTCAGAGACATCCTCAGGAAATGAGTCATGAGTCATTTATACAAGTTTGCAGCCTCAGGGCAAGCAGGAGGCTGGCCTCTCATCAGTCTTTATACAAGCAAGCTGAACATGAAAACAAGTTTGTTCCAGGAAAGCAACAGGAGTGAATTCTTGATCACAGAAATTGGAAAGAAGAGAAAAACATAAAAATACAAGAACACAATTTGTAACTTAGCAGATCACAGCGTTTTGGCTCCAGCTGTCCCTGTAGGGAAGATCTCTCATCTCTAGACATCTGGACCAATTCAGTGGACATCTTGCCACCAAAGTGCAGCCTTTGGAATGGCTCAGGCTATGGGGTCCTAAGCACTTTGTTTATATTTGCAAGTTATCAGACTGTAAACCTTCTCAGCAGAGCCCATTCCTCACGCCTGCCCCTCCTTGTAGGAGAGTTTCATTGGGACACCCCGCTTTGTTCCTTGTTCCTCTTTCCCAGTTAATTTTACTGACATTAATTGCATTGCTTTCAGAGATTGGAGAGAGGGTCTGTGGATGTTTGTGCATGTTTACATCCTCCTTACTTTGAAAAGCGTCAGCCTCCTGTCCCCGCAGAGCACGTGGTTGTTCTTGCTGCTTTGTCCCACCTTTGGCAGCCCCTTGGCAGTTCATCGGGTTGACGTTACGACCGCGACACATCTGCACACAGACGATACAGTTAATGCCACATTTCTGGCCTCTCACTGCTCACATCACACTGTGGATTCTCTGCAGGGATCCTGAACAGGGGCTGTAAGAGCCACCACGGGGCATGAGGCCGAGCTGCAACATTGGTCTGAGCACGGGCACTGAGCCCAGCACCCCTGGACAGGGCAGCTCAGCAACAACCCAACCCCATCCTGCTGCTTTGGTCCAGAGCTCCTGTGGCTCTGGGCACAGATCTGTTGTTCCAAGCAGAAGCAGCTGAAGCTCCCCTGAGCAGTGGTAATGTCCCATGGTCAAGTACCTTCATCCTGATGTGTCCAGAGCACAGCTCCGGTCTGAGGCTGCTCTACTGGTACATACTGGGCTGCATCTGGTACTCTCGCTCTGGAGGAACCTGAAATAACACCTGGGGCTACGTTCTTTCTCCATCACTGGTCAAGTCACCACCTCATCAATCCCAGTGCATTGGGCCAGGGACCAGCGAGAAGGGACTGATGCTGCAGCTCTTTCTCTGTACTGGGTGACAGTCTCAAGAGTCAAGAGTAGAACTTGTTATTTCCACCCTCCTCCTCTCCACCATAGAAAACTGGTGGAGAGGAGGTTGGCAAAAAAATAACGAATTGAAATGTTTTAGCAGCAACTTATTGGCAGAAAGATGGAAACTGAGTTTGGTAAGTCGGCTGAGAGGCCACATACAAAAGTTTGCCCTGGGGCAAATTTCCCTTGAACAGCCACAAATCCAGCCTCTGCTGGTGGGGGGAAAAGTTGGTTTTAAGTGTTACTCCTTACCCAGCCCATTTCAGTTTTAATAAACTCACATTAAGCTGTGCCAGGATAAGTTTTTCTCTGATCACCAGTTCACTCTACCCTGGACACTGGCAGCGCTGGGCTCTGAAGCAGGAGGAACAGGAGTTTGCTGGGAATTGCTTTCAGTTGGCAGCACTTGAAAGAATGGGCACCAGAGACTTTCGCAGTCTGCGATGTCCTGTACCAATGTCCTGCACCAAATCCCTGTCTGTGCCACATCCTTACCCTGGGGAAGAGCCAGGAAAGGCTGAGTGGAGGCAGACGATGGGCAGCAGGGTTTGCTGTACCAGGCAAGGCTCTGCTGCCAAAACCTCCCCAGACTCTGCAAGTTCTTCTGCAGCTTTGTGAGCTCCCCCAGCCACGACAGCGGGGTGTGAGCTCTACACAAACACCTTTGCCCACAGGAAAGAAAGGCTGTGCACGGCAGAAGCTGTCGTGGATGTGTTTCACAGCTGAATGGGGCTGAGGAAGAAAAGCCCATCCTGGCTGTAGAGCAGCCCCATCCCTGCACTGGAGGGAGCTGGGCTGGATGAGTAGTTACACCACTGAGCAACCCCGGCCTTTCACAGAGATGCTCAGAGCAAGCATCTGGTGTGTGCAGAGTAGAGGTGCCCCCTGCCAGGGGTCACTGTGTTCTGCAACCATGCAAATGGACATCAGGTCATCTCCCTCTCCCAAAATAACTGGTCTATCGAGGGAGGGGTCAGGGGCAATCACTGTCAATCTCCTAATGTTTCTGTGCTGGTCCTTCCCCTGCAGAGAGCTGTCGCACAACCACATCGAAGATCTGCCCAGTTTCCACCAGTGCCAGCAGCTGGAGGAGCTGTGAGTAAAGAGACACCTTCTCTTGCACCGTGCTCGGGGGAAAGGGTCCAGTCTGGGGAGGGGGGCAGCTCCCAAACACAAAACTCAGCCTACACCAAGCACCAGGAAAGCTGAGCTTTGTAACTCACTATTTGGGCTGCAAATGGACCAGGACTTCACACTTGTGCATAGGAGCTTAATCCAGTCGGGTGTCTCCAGAGGCCCCACAGCAAACAGAAGCGGGATGTGGCAGCACTGAATCTTACTTCACTAACTCAAGTCCCAGTGTGAGCTAATAAAGAATGAGGTTTATCTATACCATAAATGTCTTCTGCTTCAAGGAGGGGCCCCATGCCATGGGCTCAATGCATCCACACTGCTCAGGGCTACCCCATCCATAGAGCAAACTGATGCTTTCCTTGTGTAGCACTGGAATTGAGCAGCCCTGGAGGCATCTCTGTTGCTCTGAGACAGTTATTCACATCCAGTTCAAAGTGTCTGGAGATCTGGCCCTATGCTTCAAATCTAACAGACTTTCTTGCCCTTTTTGAGGAAAAAAAAAACATTAAAAACAATAGACTCCATGATTTTTCATAGAATTCTGCAGCCTGGAAGAGTAGATGTGTGGGAGCAGCATCCCCACAGAAATACACGGGAGAAGCTGTCCCTGCTCTCTGCGGAACCACAGCCTGGCCAGACCAGTTCATCCAGCCTTAACAAACTGGACATTAGGACAGTGAAATCTCATGAAAATGAGAGTTACATAGCCCTTGCTGCCTCTTTGGGAGCTCTGAGGACTGAGTTAGAACTGGGTGTACTTTTAAGTACTGGGTGTACTAAAGTACCTGCAGGAAAATGTTTGGAAAAAAATGAAAAGCCATTAAAAAGGACAAACTTTCAGAACTCCAAAGCCGTAATTTCACACATTGTGCCTAAATTTCTTCTTACGGTATTTTATAATGCACCAAATTCAGACTTATAATTAATATAAAAACATGGTAAATCCCTCTTTAAGACTAGCTAAGTCAGACAGACTGTGTCTTAAATTAACATTTTCTTACAGAATTAGTGTCTGGTCCCTTAAGCCCAAAGTTATCACCCTGTAAGCTCCGATAAAAAACTGGGAAATAGCTGGGAACAAGTCTGGTGGTGCATGGTGGTACATCCTGGCATGCAGACGACTTGTGCGTGCCAGTCGCTCTGCTGTACCTGCCAAAGTGCAGGTTTTTACCTGCAGCACGCAGGAGGTCTCTCGCAGCTAAACAACCCCAAATTCCTTTTCCCTAGCTTGCTCTAGTGCCCCTTCTTCCCAAACTCCACCTCTCCCACTCAGTGAGACCCCCAGATTTGTGCAGTTTCCCATGGTCCTCACTTGAATCTGACCTAGATGTGCAAGGGATGCCTTCGTGGCTACCCAGGACACTGAGAAACCGTGAGTAGAGCGGATATGAGAGCCTCAAGCTCTGCCTCTGAAACATGAACATGCAGCTAAAGACCAGCTGAGACGTTACAGCCTTCACGCGCAGGTCCTTGTGTGAGATGAGTCAAGATCATTTAGAACAGAATCACCAAATCACAGCATGGTTTCGGCTGGAAAAGACCTTTAAGATCATTGAGTCCAACCACTGATCCAGCCCTAAGTCCACCACTGGACCATGTCCCCAAGCATGACATCTCCTCATCTTTTCAACATCTCCAGGGATGGGGACTCCACCACTGCACTGGGCAGCCCCTTCCAGTGCTGGACAACCCTTTCAGTGAAGAAATTCACGCTCATGGCCAACCAAAACCTCCCCTGGTGTAACCTGAGGCCATTTCCCCTTGTCCTATCACAGCTACCAGGGAGAAGAGACCGACCCCCCCTCGCTACCCCCTCCTTTCAGGAGCTGCAGAGGGGATAAGGTCTCCCCTCACCTCCTCTTCTCCACTTGAACCCCCCAGCTCCCTCAGCCGCTCCCCATCATTCGGGTGCTCCAGACCCCTCCCCAGCTCCATTGCCCTTCTCTGGCCACGCTCCAGCCCCTCAATGTCCTTCTGGGAGTGAGGGGCCCAAAACTGAACCCAGGATTCGAGGGGCGGCCTCAGCAGTGCCCAGCACAGGGGAAGGACCCTGCCCTGCTCCTGCTGCCCACACCAGTGCTGCTGCAGGGCAGGAGGGCCGTGGCCTTCTTGGCCACCTGGGCATTGCTGGCTCATGTTCAGCTGATTTCTGGGTCTAAAGGTAGATTGGCCACCCAGTGGGCCAACAAATGCCCAGGGGAGTTGTAGATAGAGCAGTAGGCAGTTACTGTCTCCCCTTGCAGAAGGTCACACACAGGGAGACCATTTCTGCAGGCCTGGGAATTCATGAAGGGCATTTTGCAGGAATTTTTAAAAAATATTCGCCATTGTTCCACAGTACGGAAAAGCTATTTTCTCAAACTGTTTCCTGTTTTTTCAGTGGTCTCCAGCACAACAGGATCCATGAGATCAGAGCAGACACCTTTGTGCAGCTGATGGCCCTGCGCTCCATGTAAGTACGGCCTGGCAGGTGGAATGGCTGGGCTTTGCATGGAGGGTAGGGGAGCCGTGAGCACCCAGTCAGGCTGAGGAGGGGTTCCCAGCTGTGCTGTCTGCTCCCTCTTACAATTCTCCTTACAAAAGAACAGGGCACAAACCTTCCCTCAACTTCCCTCCTGCACCCAGACAGCCCCTGTGGATAAACTGATGACCTGCCAGGCCCGCACGCATCAACACCTCACACTGTGCTCCAGCCACACGCTGCAGCTCCTATGCTGCACTGTGCACATTATGGACTCCTGCTTCCTGAGTGCCTGTGCAGACATGGGCTTGTGGCAGGGATTTACCATGGTATGCATGAGCTCCAGCACCCCTTTTGAGAGAGTTGGGGTTGTTCAGCCTGGACAAGAGAAGGCTCTGGGGGGACCTTATAGCAACCTTCCAGGACCTGAAAGGTGCCTGTAAGAAATCTGGGGAAGAGCTGTTCACTGGGGCATGGAGCAATAGGATGAGGGTAATGGTTTTAAACTGGGAAAGGGCAGATTTAGGTTGGATGTGAAGAAAAAGCTCTTCCCCATGAGGTGGTCGATCACTGGCACAGGTTGCCCAGAGGTGGTGCAGGCCCCATCCCTGGAGATGTTCAAGGCCAGGCTTGCTGGGGCTGTGAGCAACCTGATGTGGTTCAAGATGTCCCTGCTCCCTGCAGGGTTGGGCTGGAGGAGCTTTAAAGGTTCCTTCCAACCCAACACATTCTGTGATTCCCTGTACACGCTTGTCCTGGGCCCTGCACACCTGAACATCTGTGCAGACCATCCCATTTGATTTGGGACTGTCTCCAACTCAAAAGTGTATGTTCGACATATTAAGTGCACACAGGCATGCACATATCACAGTGATCTCGCAGTAGACAGCCCACTTCTAAGTGCTTGGCACCTCTGAGAAATCAGAAAGGCTCTGCAGGGCATGATTCTCCCTGTGACATGTGGGAAGAGCCTTCCAATTGCTGATGGTCTTTATTTACTGTTCTGTTTGATCCTGCTCTGGCAGGGGTTGGACTGGATGATCTTTCGAGGTCCCTTCCAACTCCTAAGATTCTGTGATTCTGTGATTCTGTTAGGAAGTGAACTGAAGTGCATAAAAGCTTTTTCCCATGGTGCAGCAATTTGAGTGTCATGTAATAGGCCAGCATTCCTAGCGAACCCATGAGTTCCCATCTATAACATGCTCATAACTTCACAGGAACACTCACGTATTACGTGTAACACTACAGGCAAGCATGCTGCTGTCACACTATAGTCACACAAACGTACCTCTGAGCATGCAAGCTCTAGCATTTGTCTTTGGGTATGTTCTGGGTCGCCGTCAGAAGGATTCATTTCACCCAACTTCATCCTTCTGCAGTGTGACACACAGCTCCCTCCAGAGCTGCAGAGATGAAGGTACACGTAGGAGATTGCTCGTGTAGTCAGCCTTAGAAGAAACCCTTCCTGGTATGCTGGCTCCTCTCTGCTGATGGCAGAGGGAATGGACCCCTCAGGCTCAGATGGCAGCAGAGGTGACTGAAGAGCCCCAGTGAACCCAAGCTGGCTGTGCATGACAGGGGACACGCTAAGGTGGCCTTGGTTCGCCTTCCACATAGACCCTGCCCTTGCCTGGGCACCCAGCACTGCAACCACATCAGGGATGCTCTGGCACTGAAGTATAACCTGTCTACTGCTCTGAGTTAGCACAAAACCGCCAAATTTACAGAAATGAACCTAAAAATGAATCTTTCCCGTTGGTCTCAGTGGAGGAGCTCCTGCATAGTGTTGTGCTCTCTGTTAGAAATCACCCATATAGAGACTCAAACATATTTTCCCCCAGGGAGCTGCAATGAGACAGAACTTGCTGCTGCCCAAGGGGTTACAGATCCCACATTTTTTCATGCTGAACCCTTTACCAGAGCTGACCACCAGCAGCTCCATTGCCCTGCTCTGCACCCCTCTTACTGGCATGTCTTTGCCTTGCAGTGACCTGAGCTGGAACCACATTCGGTTTATTCACCCTGAAGCCTTTGTGACCCTGCACTCACTCACCAAGCTGTAAGTTGCCATGATATTTCCTTCACAGTGGGCGATGGACTGCGGGTATCTGAGGATCTCACCTGACTCCCTGGGTTACCAGGACACCTGCCATTGAGATATCAGAAGGCTGAGTCTGAAGTGCATGTCTCAGCACTGACGTGGACAGATCTAATCCCAGGGTTTCCTATCAAGATTAAAGGGATGATGAAAGTGCAGAAGGGGGCCATCTTCAAGATGCTCTCACCCTGAACACTTAGACGTCCCCTTTCTGATGCTCTCATGCCTGCCTTAGCAAAAGATCAGCATGATAGACTATTTCAGCAAGTGTCACTGCTGACCATCTTTGCTGGCCCTGAAGGGGTCACCAGTCCTCAGCCCCCTCACTAAGGCTTTGCATATTTTATGAGCTGGGAGCTGCAGTCATACCTGACCTATTATGGGGGCAGTGGTAGGGGAAGAGATGCTTGGGGCAGACGTGCACAGGGAGGTAGATACCAACCAGCCCTTTCAGCGTGGGCATTAACCCCTACCCCTCATTGACTGCAGTATCAATCCATTTATCTCCAGATCCTGGTCCCCATGGAGCACCTCATTTCAGCATCCCATTTGGGAGAGCAATGAGGCAGGCAGCACAGCTCTGCCTGGCTGAGGTACCACCAGCAGCAAGCCCCTGACCCCAGTCTCCCTCTCTGCTTTCCCTTCATCAGGGACCTGACTGATAACCAGCTGGTCACACTGCCTCTGGACGGTCTGGGGGGACTGACCCATCTGAAGCTCCAAGGCAACCCAGCTCTCTCCGAGCCCTTCACCAAGGAGAGCTTCCCCAAAATGAGGTACTGGTGGTGCTGGCTCTTTCACTTCTGGCGGTCAGCACAGTTTGTATTTGCTTATAGCAATCAGCCTCCTGCTTTTCTTGTTTATCTCACGCTTTCCTCCATCCTTTCAGGCCAATAGGTTGAGGAAGCTTCATCTGCTGCATGTTTTAAAGTCTTCCATGGGAGAGCGGTGATGTGCTCCCAGGCCCGCCACCCCCACCCCAAACACACACACAAGTGGAAAGCACAGAGCAGGCCCAGCTCAGGGCTCCTCTCAATGGAAAACATTCCCAGAAGCCAGTCCTAGCTAATGACATCCAGCTTTCCTTCAGTAAACTCTGTTTGTGTGGCCGTGTCTTGTCTGCTCTGGATTAATGAGGAGCCTGAAGGGGTCAAACTGCGCAAGAGGAGGCTGCCAAAGGCTCGGAGCACAGTGCCGTGCTGCAGGCTCTGCCTCTCCTCACTCTCCCTTAGGAGTGGTCTCCAGGGTGGCAGCTGCCCTCAGGCAGAGGGGCCCAAGGTGCAGATGGCTCAAATCCTTCTGAGCTGAAGTCATCTTTCCTTTGGGTCTCCCAGGTATTTCCCTTGGGGACAAGGATCAATGAGCCCATGGTCCCACTCAGCCACTACAGGATGGAGCATCTCAAAGTTAGACACCCACTGCTGGGGTCACGGGCCACTGCGCCAACATTGGGCTTAATAGCTCAGGTCTGATGAGAAGTGTGGAGCTCTCACTTCAGTCTGACTCAGCAGTGGTGCCTGCGGGGCTTTCTCTTCTGACTTTTTTGGCTCATCTGTTGTATGATTGGTTTTCAAACAGCAGGAGATCCCAGAAGCTCCTGGAGGGCTTTCCACACCCAAAAATGGCAGTCCCTTGTGCAGAGCGGGTCAAGTTCAGCACTTCCAGGGGCGTTCCTCCTCTAAACTGACTCTATTGACATCTGTGGAGCTGGTTTGGCTTGGTACCAGAGAGCCTGAGTCTGCAGGAGTTGTTCATTAAACCATGCCAGGCGATGGATCTATTAACATTTCCGAAATTTTAGGGTACTGCCATTAAGTAGCCTTATTACTGGGGAATATGTCAGGAGGAATCATCCGAGAACAGCTCTTAGCCATCCTGGGAGGGTCTGTACCACCTTTCAATAATAGGATTTAATTTGCAGCTTACAACAGGATGCAAACTTGTATACAGAGTTTCCATAGCCTCCCGGGGCTCAGCCAGAAATGTTTGGGAACTTAAAACAAAAGCATATTTTTAGAATATAGGGTTTCACCGTATTTACTGATCTTGTCAGAAGACCTTAATTGTCTGGAAAAGCTGAGGTTCCTTTGCCTTCATCAGCGGCCTTCCTGACTCTCAGCAAAGCAGCAAGTGTTTGCTGTCTTTGAAGAAAACACAGCTGCTGACAGATAGCCCGGTATTTCATCCAGATGATGTTCAGCTGCTGTTTAATTAACCTTGTAACACACGCTATAATTAACAACCAACAATTCTACTTTCAAGTAGAAATCAGACATATTAAAACAACTTGCTGTTGTTGAGAGACCAAAGACTTCCCTGCCTGAGCTGGCAGGGGTAGACCACGCTCATGGAGCTGGGCTTTGGAGGTGCCTTCAGCAATGAGCAAGGTGGACTTTGCACTTGCTCAAGCTTTTGAGAAGCTTCTCACCTTGAATAAAAGGAAGGCTGCCCAGCAAAAAGTGGCCTTGGGGTAAAAAGATAGACTGGCTTTTGTTGCATGTGGAAACTGAGCAAAAAGTGCAAAGCAATGGAGAGTCGGGTCAGTGAGGTGATGCACCTGAAACTTCTGCATTCCCTCTTTGCAGGGTCCTCGAGGTACCTTACGCCTACCAGTGCTGCGCCTATGGAAGCTGCAGCAGCTTCTTCAAGATGTCCAACCAGTGGGAGGCAGAAGACATGAGCCCAGAGGAGGAGGATGCCCACAAGAGGACCATGGAATTGTTTCCAGGTCATGCTGATAACCACTGTAAGTAAACCGGGTGGAATGATAATCAATCCATGGGCAGGCCCATGCCATGGGCTGATCCTGCATTTGCAGGAGTGGTTCTGCTGCCAGCCATGGAGTTATGCTGCCTGGGGGAGGCAGACTGATCCTTCTGGATCTATGGTGGCTAGTTGCTGTGAATGGGCTTCAGAGAGTGTCACTGCCTTGGAGAAAGAGCTGATTTGGCACATCCAAACCTTCACAGTCCAAGAGAAGGGTCTGGCAGTCAAAGAGCATAACAACGTTTGCTAATTTTGCTTTGCTAGCTATAGAAGGAGGCTACCCAAGCCACCTGAGCAAGGTGGCTGAGGTTGTATAGGACAGCATCTGGGCTTGGTGATTGGACTTCTGGGCAGTATGGAGCCTTTGACAGGACATCAGGCTTTGTTGCTACAACAGAGCATGGACTCTAGTACTAATCTGAATAAGAAAACGAACTCCAAGAATGGGGATGTGCAGCTGGTTGGAGGTAGACTTGTGTCTGTGCTACTGCTGTGCACACAGCCTGATCCTACAGCAAAGGTCAGGGTTTGGTGTGAGCAAAAGGGGAATATGAGCTCAGCACAGGAGCCAGCCTGTGCAGGGCAGAAGAGGCTCCACAGTTAAAGGTGGGCAGCACTTTCTGTTCAAAAGCCAATTTATTTAGTGCTCTAAAATGCACTTTTGCATAGACTGCCATGAAATCTGCTGTATGAGGCCAGCACAAAGCACATCTCCTGCACACACAGACCCATAGCACAGCAGCAGCTCCAGGTGGAAAGCTGCCGTGATCCCTTTGCAAGGGAATCTCAGAATAACGTGTGGAAAAGCAAGACCCCATTTGCTTCCTGTGTAACTGCTGGAGACTGGAAATAGCATTTCAGGATACAGCTTGGATGCTGCATTTGTTTATATGTTTATGTAAATACAGAGGCCACACACACTTCCCAGGTCTGAAACGCCCTGTAGACAAAACCCCATTGCGCTGCACGCCTGAGGGAGATAGGGAGAGGGCTGCGTCCCTGGGAGCACTCGACCCACCTGCGCCCAGGACCACCGTGCACCCAGTCATGCCCAGGGCTCTGCAGAGCCCCCTGCTGCACCCTGAGCAGGCAGGGCTGGATCTGGAGACAGACACCAGCCCAGCACGGTTGGATTCTCTGTGTTACAGCAGTGATGGGAGGCAGGATGTCCCAGACACTTTATGGCACAGCCAGCGAGCGAGTCACGAGCCCTGCATCCCTGCTCCTGCGTCTGCCCTGCCCCGGTCCTTCACAGACCAAGAATGAGCTTTAGCAATGTAAAAAGTCCAGCCAGAGGCTATGAAGTGTGATTCTGACCAGTGTGATGTGGCTTCTGGAAGCATGGCAGACTTGGTGGTTGCACTGGGCAGACAGCACAGAGGAGCCATATGTTACGGTCATTGCTGCAGGAATTTCTTCTCGCCTGGGTCAGTTTTTCCATCATTAATGCAGCCCATACTTTAACAGTCCTTGTGCATATAGTTGGTTTGTTTGCCCAGCAAATTTCAGCGTCTGTGAACAGACCTGGTTTGCTACCAGGGCACATAGTACTGCTTGCAGACCTGTTCTCACTGGGCACCAAAGCACCTGAAGTCTCAAAGGACACCCCCTGGCCCTGTCGGCAGATCAATACCAGGCTCCCAGGCCAGTCTCAGTCTCATGGGTTACATGTGTGTTTGTGAGATATTGGGACCAGAGGGGAATGCTGAGTGATTTTAAGATGTGCCAGATGAGACCATTAGCAGCTCATAAAGGCTCACATTTTCAGATGTTAGAGCACTGGGTTTGTCTGAAATACAAAAGCACAGAGATGCAAACGTGAAATGCACTGAATGTCCTTCCTCACTGTGCACGTATTCACAGACAATTTCCCTTACTATTCATGGTACCAGCATGGTCTACTCCTGACAATAAGAGTTTTGTGATAAAGCTATTTTACTTGATTAACTGTTGCTTTATTTCAGTTCCCAATGCTTCCTTTCTGATGGCCACCAGTGGCATTTAGCTGTGTTGTATGAATCTTGTAACCATCCTCATTAAAGAGGAAAAAAGCTCCCAAACATTCCTTCCATGAAAGAGACTAAGTGGTCTCATTAGAGAAAATAACTCAGGGTTGTGTCCCTGCAGTGTTCAGCCAGGCTCATCAGGGTGCTGGGATGCTGTGGCAAAGCCAGTGAGAGGGATGGGGAACGCTTCCAGACAGCCACGTCCCCTCAGCCTTGCAAGGGCCTGAGGATCCCCATACAAACCAGTCCCAGAACCTCACAGCCATTGGTGAGATGTGACTGGTCCCAGGCAGTTGTGTAGGGGAACTCAATATGTCCCCAGTGCACAGCCCTGCTCCAGGGTGTGTCCCACTCCTGCACCCCACACCCATCCCTCGGCCAAGCCCCGCGCCACAGGGGCCAACCGACTGCAGCCACAGAGTGCGTGTGGTGCCACAGACCCCAGGGCCAGATCAGCTCTTCCCCAGCTTCCCAGTGTTCTGGATGGCTGGGAACCCCTCAGACACTGCCTAAGTGTGTCCACTGACCCCTGAGTATCGGCCACCTGAGTGTGGTTAGTGCATGTCTCATCACTCTGTCACCTTGTCAGGACATATATTTAAGGTCCTATTTCCAAAATTTTTGGTTCTTGGGATGTGCTTCTCTGGATAACACTGGTAAGGTTTAGCAGATACCCCCTGCCTCAAGCCTGTCCCATGTGGCTGCACAGAAGCTTGGGAGCCATCATGGGACATCCACCCTGTGCTCCCCGGCAGCTCCCTCCTGCCGCCCTCCCAGAACAGGCTGCAGAGCAAGGGCAGGCAAAGTGCAGGTACTGTCATCACCATGGGGCACTTCCATCACAGTCCCAGCGACCCCTTGAGACCACTGCTCTGAGGATGGAAAGGGCTGTATTTACTTACAAGCATATGTTTGCAGTGATGGAACAAAGCTATAGAAAGCGAGAACACACTTGTGTAGGTTATCCTTGACAAAAGGACACTCCTTTACCCAGTCCAGCACCTCCATTAGCTTGTAATGTTGACTAATGAACTTTTGCAACCATCCAGCAGACCCTGGAGTGTCCTCAGAGGGACTTTTCCTGCCTCTGCCGTTCAAGAAGGCCACTCCTGTCCCCCAGAAAGCACCTGCCCAGTCCTGAAGAGAGGGACAGAGCAATCTGCAAAGTCTGCCATCGCTGGCTAAGGCAGGCAATGCAAATCAGGGAGAAGCAGCTAGCCCCGTGTTTTCACTCTACCTCTTCTCCAGCAATTCTCCTCTTCCTCTGACTTCAGTGCTGGTACAGTGGCAGGGAATCGTTTTCCATGTGGAGGGCACTACTAGCAAAGTGATTTTTTTCCATAAAGCGGAGGTGTCTTAGCACAATTCAAATAAACAAGGGCTACTTCAAAAAACCATGCAGTCTGCCTTGCTAGAACACAAGAGCCATTTTCTTTTCTCTACATTTCCCAGGCTAGGAGAGGGACTGATTTCCAGCAGAGAGAGGTACATTTGCTGCTTTGAACCCCGCTGTGCTGGCCAAGGATTGCTCTGCAATTCACAGTTAGCTCAGCAGTCCAGGCAAAACAAAAGATCGCTCCTTCTCTTCGTGCAGATATTCAACCTGTGCTTAAAACCTGCCTTTGTGCCTGCTGGCCCTTTGGAGAGAAAAGGGATGGAGGCAAACTGCACTTTAACATTGCCATGGTTTGGGTGACAGAGGGGCACATTAAGTCAGATCTCTGCATCGATTTGAGTACTGACTGCACAACACAGCCTCCGCACTGTGGATGGAAAAGACACTGGAGATTTATAAGACTATAAAATACAAGGAGGAAATATTTTTCCATCCCACTGTGTTTTCTTGCCAGACTCCAAAGCAGTAGTAATATTTCAGCTCTTATACAGACAGATTTTTTAAATGGCATTTTTTTCCAAAGCTCACTGAAGCCGAGAAAGCCGCGATGCTTCTCAGGAGGCACTAAAGATAGTGCGTTATTTGTCATCATGCTTTAAACAAATAATCACTGCTGTAGTTACAAACAGAGGCAGGGGGCAGACCTCATGAGAGGCACCATTTCTAAATGGATTTGGCAACCAGACCTCACTTAGGTTAGCCACATCTTCAGCACTGCACAAATTCGTGCTGAGCTGCACCCCTGGGTGCACCCCTGGGTGCCCATCCCTGTCACCCCCAGCAGAGCTCATCGCACAGCCACAGATGCAGCACCCTGGCACCCTGCAGCGGCACAAAGCATGTCCTTGTCCACAGAAAAGCCCCGGAGATCTCCACGGGGGGCAGGAGGCTGTGCTGCTGCCATGGGTGGGGATGGCGCAGAGGGACAGCTGCTGTCCTCGCTGTGTCCCAGCGCTGTGAATCAAAGGTAGTTTGAGAAGAGAAACAGGGAACAAAGCAGAAAAGCAGCCTTGGACTGGATTGAGAGGATGCCATTCTCCTTAGTGATAACCCACATCTACAGGACACCAAAAACACAACTGAGGCCTCAGACCCTTTCTTCTCCACCCAGGGACTCTTTGCCTGGCCCCCAGGGAGCCCCAGCCCAGCTCAAGGTGCAGTTGCCAGCGATGGAGATGCTGGCCCCGCTGGGCTCTGGGGACAGGGCAGTCTGGAGCCACAAACTCCACAGATCCAAAGTCTGCAGGCGTGGGCAATCCATCTGCCTTTAAACAAAGCCAGAACTGGGAACTCCAGGGTTAAGAACAGGGCACCACAGTCCCAAGAAATCATAGGATGTAAAATAAAGCATGTTGGGTTCTCTTGTCTTTTTGCTTCTGAACCATCTGGTGGTGGTGGTGGTTGCTGATGAAGAATTTGTGCTCCAAGTAGAGCCTAATGGCTCTCTTTGAACAGAGCTCCAAAGTCCTTATTGATGAACTAGCATTGGACAAGGCCTGCCCAGAAAGCTTCCATTGAGAAGATGCATTTGAAGGCTTTGTTTTCCGTAACCACATAGGCTAAAGTATTCTTTATTTTTAATAAAGCATGCTGGGAGGAGGAATCTGCAGTCACACAACTCTGGGATCTGGGGCTCTTATACTTCAAATGTTGGGAGTAACCTAAAAACAGAGGGGTTGGCCACATTGCAACCCACCAACATTCACAAGACCTTCTTCCTCTACAGCAGTGACTGCAGGGCACAAACTGGACACCAGCAGCTACTTTGAACTTGGCCTTGGGAACTGGCTGGGAAGGTCTGTGCTGAGGACAGGCAGTGGGAAAAGCTGCTGTCCCAGATAACCCTGACAGCCCTGCTCATTCTTCTCTGAGCATAATTTCTTGTTGTTTCTCCCCAGATGACCCAGATGCAGATGACCTCCAGTCGGACCTTGAGGAATCAAAGCTGCACCCCACTATTCAGTGCACGCCAAGCCCCGGTGAGCAGACAAGGAAATTCTTTGAACTCAGCAGGGATCACAGAATATGAGGAGTTGGAAGGGA